GTCAAATAGGAACCAATCATATATTCCCCAAAACAGAGCCTTACGAACTTCCTCCAGCCTGTTTCAATACCGTATTATTCAGGTAGGAGCAATGTGTGTGTGTGTATGTGTGTGCTGGGATGAGATAGGGGATAAAGAACGTGACAATGTGAACCCGGCTATCCAATCCTCTCCACCATTCGTGAGTTTTGATTCAAAATCAAAGCAGTGGATGCACACGAATGGCATTCAACAACCTCGATTGTCAATCACTTTTCGGATCAATGACTCAAAAGCGTGCGTGTCATATAATCTCCACTACCGCCTCAATTCAGTGTGGTCGTTCTTGTCATGCAAACACACGGAGTGAGAGAGAAAAATCTTGTCAGATTTGCGACTGACATCCTCTCACGAGTTTGAGTGTGAGAATCGAATTTTCAGCAGCAAACAGCATCGGGGGTCACTTACTTGCTCGGTTGATTCCACAACTAGGCTAATCAATGAGGATCGAAATCCGCTGAGGCGTAACGGTGTCAACCTAACCTGGTGAATGAGATGTGTGTGTGTGCGTGTTTAGGGAAGACAAAACTCCCCTCATACAACAATATATTTGACCGAAGAGGGTTAACAATACACCATTTTCATCGGATGAGGACTTGCGTAAGTATGACAATTAGGGATGCAAAACAAATATAATCTGATTGTTTCATGAAATTAAATGTTTTCTTTAGTTGTTTATTTGTTTGGTTGATTGTTTGGTTGGTTAGGGGATAACGACATCATATGTTTATTTCGTAAAAGTAAACTAAGGGGCTCGACTGAACGATATATTTTGGCAGGTCCGTCACAATTGACCAGATCTATAATCGAGTCTTATATGGCCCCTAATTTACTGCCATCCAGTGGTGATAACGAAAGATGAAGATAGCTTGGATAATGTGTTTTCTCAATGAATTATTCTGAATTATTACTATCATTATTATTCTGAATTATTTTGGATGCCAACAAATCGCATGGAATTTACTTCTTTATTTCATGTTTAGTGAGTCACGAAAACCGCAGTTTGGTGCGATTACTGCCAATCATAGTTAAGCACAGAATGGGAAAAACCAAGACAAGCGGAAGTTCATTAGCCACGGTTGAGGAGCATACAGGACCGACTAAGGACGACTTCATGCCCTTCGAGAAAATATGACGGTAATAACTTAAGGGGGAAATGTTTGGCTGAACTAAACAAATCATTTGTGTGTTTGTGCTACATGAGTTTTCTACTATTTTATCCCCCGGGATTAATTTACAAGTAATTAGTTAAGAAATCAGCACTGTCGACTGATATCGGATTTTGTGCAGTGCGTACCCAATTGATACGGAAGTCGTGGAATAAACTTCATCTGAAAGCCGCTTGATGCGATTGATCTTTGTCCTCGAATGCTCTACACTGTGGCTACTAACCCGACACACCCGAGACATCCGCACAAAGAAACACACCCTTTTTGAGCCACGTGTCACTGACGTACAAGTGATATTGCTAATCTCATTTGAGTCTAGGTTGGCAACATTGCGGTAAGAACCTGCATGTTCGGAAGTGTTTTGACAAAACAAGAGTAAACGTTGCCAGTTAGGACACGCAAAACACATGCTTACTAGTCAGATAATCCACAGTGACGGTTAGTGATCCAGGGTTGAGGAACCTACAGATGACGTGAATACGACATATGACGAGGTGCATGGAGAGATTAGAAACAGAGTAGGCGTGGCCTGACTTGAAGGTTGAGGCCCAAAGAATTCACACACTGAAATGCTGTGGTCTCGTTTCTGATCTGGCTTTACTTTTTCTCAGGCAATTTTAGAACATGGTCAGCGCAAATCACCCAACCTTTTACGAGTCCACGTAAAACACCCACTCTTAAAACAATTTCCGATCGCCATTCAATAAACCCTTGTCCGTTTAGTATCGTTACTACGAAAAAGAAATAATTTCCGGAGCACTTGTCTATGTATGGGGTAATGTTCGAGTTCATTGTCAGAATCAAAACAACTTTGGCGGTTTCCTTTTCTTAAATACCAGTTGCATTTTACAACCATTCGACTGTTGTTAGGATAGAGTGAGAGAACTGTGTATTTTGAGTTTGTATATATGTATGTGTGCATTGAGTATCTCATTTTTGGGTTTTGGTGAACCAAAGCTCCTGGATAAACCCAGACAGGGATCAATGGGTAACTATTACAGAACGGTCAATAAGAAGCTTGCATTTGGGACCGTTTTACCATGCCGCGGTTTCGTCCTTCATTCAAGCAGACGGTACAGGTGGCACAGGCGATTATGGCAACCGTTTGGAGGAGAAACTATCCATTCACCTTGCTATCATCATCAACAACTTGGCGTTACACAAGCATACAATATATGTGTACAACATGAACTGATGCAATCGACACAGCAAGTGAATAGATAACCCAGTCCACCAACGCGGTTGAAATCCTCGGTTTGGAAAATGTGCAGCCAGCATGTTGGAACCGGAGAATATTAGGAAAATATAGCATGGAAGTACAGTTTGCGCCAATTTCAAATTGGTGGACATCTACTTGCGGACCTTCTTGGTCCACGGATGACAACAGTTCATTTTCAGCAACGTACTGTCGGGATTATATCAATACAACTTCCTGTTGTTTGGTCTACACCTTTTATGGAGCATATCTCAAGCAGTTATTGGTCTGATCATCTGTGGATTTGACTTTGTGATAGTGTACGAGGAGTAGGGTCATGTTTTTCGAACAACCATGAATGAATATGATGGCCTCCCCCCCCCCCCGNAAAAGACCACCATCATCTGGGGTCTATCATGGGATGCTTCCGATATCGTTTGCACTTGACCCATATCTGTTCTACTAATGCTCGAATCCTATTTGAGGCCTGACCGATAGAATATTGGATTGACCAACTCTAGTCGATCTTTCGTGACCTCATTCATGCTTGTCCCTTTAATGTTAACTATCACCACCTGTATGCCACAGGGGCAAACTGCAGACTGTTTGGCCAGCTGAAACAAATTGGAAGTTCTCCACTCCCTTTCCCCTGCCTGCACACTGAACAAAATGATATGCAGAGATTATAAGACAAAGAGTGACTGTTATTTACTGTCTTTGGTGCTCAAATACGTCGTGTGCAGAATCCCAGCACCAACATCTTAACAAAAGATAATTTTATCGCACAGTATACTTTTCTCTACGACTAGCCGAAAAATTCGATCGAAGTCAGTCTAGTGTTGAGAATAGTCCTGATTAAATTCTAACGAAGAGGCAATAGACATAGTTTTGATTTTCATATCTGAATTTACCACAACGCGACCGATTTCGTGAGTTGTCTGTCTGGAAATTCCTGCGAAATCAACTTTTTTATTTGCGCACTATCGCCTTCTCTCTCTCTATTTTCATGTCGTCTGCGTTCACTGATGTCACTGGAGCGCAGAAAATACTGACTCTATTCACGGGAAAATTCTATCTTTTATTTTATTACATTTTACCACATTGAAGTCAACCTCACCAAACTGCTCACGAAGCACTTTTCCGTTCACATGGTTGCTAATGCACTTTGCATACCCTCACACCACTAACAGTGAGTACAGTTCAACTCGTGCGACAGTTCATTATTATCTCTTATGGAGTCGCGAATTACTTGCCTACTAGACGTGTCCAATGCTTTAACCAACTAGATCTCCTGAAGCACATGTTTATACATGCTAATACCTGGCTTGGTCATCATTTTGTTGTCCCAAGTTTTGAATGCATTCTTGAAAGAGTCAAAAAGCTTGAAGCTCCCTTGTTGCTTTACATTACCTATCAAGGTTTACCACTAATAATATTATCATTAAATTCAAATTTTTATTATAAGTAAATTATAAAGCTGATGCTTATTGAATCCCAAACGCTAAATATCACATTCTTATACTGGATTTGTTATTGCCTCAATCACACTTATTCATGGTACTATTATTGTCATCATCAAATTCATGCCAGTCCTCACCGAAATGCAAACCAATAACACCAACGACTAGATTGTCGAGGTTTCTCTCACGATGTGATGCTTACCAAAACTTAGATCGAAAAACGGTCACGCCACTTGAAGGAACACGCTGTTCCAATCTGTTCCGTTTCAATTTAGCACCAGGTAACACCAGTTCCGTCTGATCTCACATCTCGTCTGATGGACGGGACAAAGCCGGAAGTTGAACTTCACCCTCTCGCGGTGCAGACACGACCCCCGCCACCAGCGAGCTAGTGGAAACGGTACCTGCTACCACCAATGCCCACCGACGAGAACAGTGGGAACAACAGCAGAAGCAGGAACGAAACAACACATCCGTTTGACTATTTTCAACTGTGTGTGTGTGTAGTCGTCACTATAAACAATCGAAATTAACAGCGAATGAGAAGAAAAAATTGCCTAATGCAGCTGTACACAGATTGATGCACCTTGGACCACAGAGTAGATTTATCATGGAGGGTTTGTAGTAAGTAAGCAGTGAGTGCGTTTGTGCGTGCGTGCGGTGTGTATGAGCACAGCAAAGGAGGGGAGAGGGGAGGGTGCTCAGATGACGCGATAATCATAGAGCAAAACAGTTGCTGTTTGTCAGGAAGATCTGTGGATGACCGGAAAACAACTACTTTTCAGTGAAGGAAGGAATTTTTGGAACCGCTTGGGAGGAGTGCGTAGGCGCACAACAACAACAACAACACGAAAGCACTGTGAACAATGGCGAAATTTCAGCATACAGGATTCAGATTGGTGCTTGAGTTGGAGGAGGGAGCAGGCGAATTGAACAAGAGAAAGTTGAGTTTTTAACCGATATAAGACCGGAAGTTCTGTGTCCGCGTCTGTTTTTTTATATTTGTCACCGTGCGATTATTTGATGTCGACATAGAACGGTTCACAAATGCTGGTGTAGAGTGAGAAAATGCAGAGCTGTCTTGGAGACAAATGTCGTCTCGATGAAACAAAGAATGAGGTCAGGTGATTCGTTATCTTAACATATTCTCAACCTGACCGAAAAATCATCATCATCATCATCATCATCATCATCATCATCATCATCATCATCATCATCATCATCCGAATCATCATCATCATCATCATCATCATCATCATCATCATCATCATCATCATCATCATCATCATCATCATCATCATCATCATCATCATCATCATCATCATCATCATCATCATCATCATCATCATCATCCGAGTTGTTACTATTAGTACCTTAATTTTTCTCACTAATATGCTAATTTGCATCTTGTGCCACTTCACTTTGTTGTTTTCGTTCAAACTTACCTGAGCTAAAAATAAATTTCTAAAAAATTGATTTTATTACGGTTTTCAAAA